AGGCATCCACGATGTCAGCAATGAACATAGTGACACGTTGATCCTCTGTTGCACGGTCCATCAGCGTCAGTGCCGAGTTGACTGCATCAGTGATCCTTGGCAGGACACTCTTGTGAGTTCTCACTGACGTGAGCGAGACTCCACTTCGTCTGCAGTCCAAGATGATGCGGCTCTTGCTGATGTACTGCCCCGTATCTGGATTGTACTTCAGCTTCTTGAGGCAAGCCAGTTTCGACAACACGGGCTTGTCTCCAAGTTCTGCTTCCAGTTCTTCGAGGCTGTCGTATCTCGACAAATAGCCCTTTCGGTGATAACTCTCGAGTGTCTCCAGGGCCTCGCTGTCTTCTTCAACTCCGACATAGTTGCTGAAACTGTCAAAATCTGTAGCCAGGCTTTGGACATCAAGGAGCTCGATGTCATCGTCCACTCTCGGAAAGACTCCGTCCAGACTCTCAGACTGCATATGAAGTCCAGCCGGTGCCCCGGCATACAAGCAAGAGACGGTTGCCGCCGCTGGGTCTTCCACAACCTGTGCCCAGGCTTCCAACAGATAAGCACGAATGACTGTAGTGCAACTGTTGCTGTCGACCGGGTCGATTGACAGGTCTGATGGCAATCCACCAGATGAGTTCCTAATCAACATCTCTTTGATGTCTTGCCTCATCAGTGATACTGCCTGTTCAGGAATGATCACGTCCTCCTGGCTCTGATGCTGTGCGATGTTCTGCCATAGCTGGTCTTCAGCGTCTTGGTCGCCATCGAGGTGCTTCTCGATGATGTTGCGTACTTGCACGCCAATGTACCTCATTCTGTCCGTGATCCACAACTGAACATTCCTCAAGCTATTTCGAACATCGTCTTGCTTCTTATGCTGTTCTGCTTGCCCAGACAGTCTCATTGCCTTCTGCGGTTTTGGGTCCCAGTCTGTTGCCGATGCCGGTCGTTTGTTATCCATATTGTCCGCAGGATGTTTGTTCTGGTCTTTCATCTTGCTGATTGCACCTGCTAGCGCTGCAGCCAAGGCTTCATTGAGCTCCTTAGGGTACGCAGCTGCCTGTCTGGTCAGGTACTCTCCTTGTGGTTCTCTGGCTCGTATCATTGCAGGTCTCCATTGCTCCGCCGGGATTGCCCTCTGTTTGCCTTTCAACGGAGGGTGCGCAGCATAGATCCACCTTCCGTTCCACGGAATTCTCCACCACCTGCTTGGGTGATTGCACAACACTGTGAACTCAGACAAACCTTCAACGTTGCTCAACAAATCTGTCAGCTTCTCTGAAGGTGCCCCAAACCTGCATTGTGCAAATGTGTACCTGAGTACTCCATCCATTGCAATCAGCGTTTTGTACTCATCCAGCTTGAACATGGAAGTCTTCTCCTTCCTCTCATGCGGCTGTTCGAGCAGCCACGGCTTTCCGCTCCTGTGCGCATGCAAAGCCGTTCGGTGAGCTCTGAGCGCGAGGATGTTACCCTCTCTCGCCTTCTGCTTGTCTTCGGCCGCCAGATCTTTGAGTCCGTAAACCTCCGGACCTTTTGTCGACCTCAGAGGCTGCGGTCCTCCCATGCCTTGCCTTGCAGGTGAAAAGGTGCTGCAAGGCGGTGAAATCATGTAGCCGTCGTACATAGACAAATTCGATTCAATTCTCTCCCAGACGTCTTGATCCAGGAGATCATGCAGTTCATTGATCTCTCTATCCACATAGGCCGCTTCAATGCCACGATCTTTGAGGTATCTGCCAAGACCGTCTGAAGGCCGGCGTGGTCCACTGTAAAGATACAACACTTTGCCATCAACCAGTCCGTGTTCTGTATCTGACTTGCTGACGACTGAATTCTGAGCCGGGTCAAGCTTATCAGATTTCTCCAAATCTCGACCCTCATGCATTTCGGAAGCTCCGTGTCAGTAGGGTGGCCTTCTGCCACCTTTACCCTTCTTGCCTCCGCCCTTCTTGCCTTTTCCTTTCGATGATCTCTTCAGGAATCCTGGTTCAGGCATCTCGGCATGCGGACACTTCGAAGCTGAGTGAGACCCCAAGCATCGCTCACACTGATGAACTGTGTCCCATGCCTGTTGGCACCAGATCCCTTGCGTCACCTCGGTGCATGTGCCCTTGTTGAAGTCCGCACACAACTTGTGGCCCGTCCTGTTTGTGAGGTATTTACCGTCTGCCACATTGTTGAACCTGCCAGTTCGACTGCCCCTTCTGACCCTCGGCTCAGGTCCTGCTGAGGGTGGCTCTGGTGAGGCCGGAGAGGACGAGGTTACACCAGCTCCCATTCTCCACGGAGCTGGTGTTGTCTCTCTCGGATGCAGTCCCGGTGGTGAAGTTCTTGCATCTCCTTCAACTGCCTCTGCAGTGTTGGTGATCCTCGTCAAGATCAGGAAGGAGGTCTCCACAACTTCTTCTCTCCAGAACTCTAGGTCCTCAACCGCCTTCGCCCAGACATAGCTCCATGGCCTCAATGGTTCATACCCCACAGGTGTGGGGTTGCCTGACGCCTTTGTCTGGTCATACTCCGCTTGTGCGATCCTCTTGAGCCTGGGCATGTGCTCCAACCTGCATCTCACTTCACCTTGGTATATGACACTCCAAACCTTCTCACCATACTTGTCATGCAAGCGTTCGATGAGTGACTTGTATCGTAGGAGATTTCCAAGGTCTACAGCATCCAGCATCACCAAGACATTTTGCAATACTGTGTAAGATGCAATCCAGTGAGATATATTGGCAGGGCCATGAAACTCCTGGCTCTTAACAGATCCATCACGCCCCAGCATCACGCCTGAGAGCTTGACCTTCTTCATGATGCGCATACCATAGGGGCCGAAGATGGCAAAATCAACGTACGGCACGCTGCCCTGGTCCAGCAGATGCCTAACTGCAGTTATCTGTTCTGTAGTTGGCTCACTCTCCTTTGGGGGGGCGTTCACCCTTTCCGTAGACGACCTCATATCTTGCAAAGGCCTTCAGGATTTCCTTCTCTTCGTCCAACAAGATCTCTGTGTCATCGATCTGTGAGATCACACTGCTGAGCTTTATCTTCCTCCCAGCAGCAGCAGTGCTCGGGCTTGTCGGTCCTGGTGAAGCCGATGTCATGGCCGATGCCTTCCTTTTGAGGTCCTCTATAGTTTCACCGTTGCCAGCGACGATCCTGCATACGTGGCCAATCAGTTTGGCCTGTCCCAGCTCTGTCAACGTCGGCTGCCTCGTGGCACCACCAGCAGCAGGGATCTTCCATCCTTTGACTGCTGTGTCATAGTCTGCCTCCGACAAAATGCCCAGAGCTGCTGGCTTCGTGTCTGGCTTGGCTCCTAGGAGAGATGCCAGCGATCCAGCCACCGTTTTATCGTCTACCAGATGTGCCTCATCCAATCCGGCGAAGGTGAAAACCTCACGCATGCCCAGCATCTTCTTTCGTTCTTCTTCAGTCGGTTCCATTGATGCTAACTTCGAACCCTGAAGGCAGCTGGATGCTCCGTCTTCTGGTTCCGCACGACCTGCAAGCTCTTCGAATGCAGCACCAGCACGTGGTGATGATCACCACGATCAAGGCCACGAGCAGCTCAACCAAATGGCTGGAACCCACCGCGGCCGTCGCGAAGCTCCCCACCGGCTGCCGTGTATGTAGGCCGGTGGGTGCCAGACTCATGCACCCCTTCCACCACCAATGACTTGTCGGTGCAAGAAAAGTGGAAGGGTGTGGTCCTTGAGCCAAAATGTCAAGCACCACACACCTTACCCACCCTGCCACCCAAACACGACTGCATGTTCCATACACAACAAGTTGTTCCTTCCCAAAATCACCAAATCCTCTTGTGTTTCTTCCTCTTCTTCTTCCTCTTCTTTCAACTACCTCCCAACGACTCCTCTGGAGCTCCGCGCGCGATCTCCACGTCAGGGCTCCCACGAGTAGGGCGTTTGGAAATAGGCGGATCCAAACGTGCGGAGGGAAGAGCAATATTCCATTAGAAGCAGTGATTTAAAAAAACAAAAAACGCATCCTAAAAACAAACAGGAAATCAATCTATATTATGTACAAAAACTCTTACAAAGCCAGCGAAAGCCAAAACCACCAAAAGCCAAAACCCACAGCCACCAAAAACCAACTCTAGAAAGCCGAACCTGAAACTATGTCTACGCTTAACAATTTAATGCGAGAGAGACGATATCATGGAGATTCCCCAATGAATTTTCCTTTGATAACTGCAATGGTCTCTGTGCTGGGCATCTGGGCAAAGTTTGCAGCATCGCATTTCAATTTCACAGTGGAAACCACAATGGTCAGGCTTTGGCTCTCTCATTTGTCAACCAAAAGCCAAAAGCCACCGAAAGCCAACCTTCCTTCCTGCCCTCCTTCCTGTCTTCATTTCTTCCTGCCTTCCTTCCTTCCTTGCCTTCCTTCCTTCGATCCTTCCTTCCTTCCCTCCCTCCCTCCGTCCTTCCTTCCTTCCTTCCTTGCTTCCGTCTCCCAGCCATGACGCCGCGAGGTCCAGCCCAGCAACGTAAGGTGTGGGTTCGTGGAGGACGGTTCGCGGGCCTGATCGTTTTCGATGCATGTTCTAGAAATTCTACCCCTTCTAGGAAGTGGGATACTTGATCTTTTCATATCATTTCGTGCTATATACATTGCTTGATCATGTGGGATCCACATCTCATTTTGGGGCGAGATCCCTTCTAGAAGTTCGTTGGCCCCAAAGGTTGTGTCTCTTGTAAAAATCCTGTTCTATCCTTTTCTCCTTCCCACACACCCAGCCACAACTTCAAAACGCCTGGATGGTGCGATGATCCGACAGGATTTGAGGTTCGCACTTTGACACTTTGACCCGGACCCCCACTTCATGTCTGACCCCCGATTTCCAAAAATAGGGGTTCACCGAACGAACTCGCCACTCCCAATCCCCACAAAAGCTTTAAGGTTGTCTATTTTCGTGGGTTGGATATTGCGTCCTAGACTTGTCTCCGTCACCGACTCTGAAGGGTTTCGGAGTCGCAGGTTCCCTGCCTTGTTGTCCTGCGGACAAATGAAGACCTTGTCCTGAAAGCAAACAGCACGGATAGCATCCTACCATGTCTCTCCAATCAACTTCTGATGTCAAGAAGGATCTTTTTTGAGGTGTCGCTGTTCACCCAGGCTTGTGGTTCAAAATGTGAGAGATAGCCTGGACGGCAACATTGAACCCAACCGTTGGAACGGACAACAGGAGGTTGGAGAATTTTCACTGGAGAAACCAACCAAACCAAAACCCAAGTCATGCTCCTACTACGAATCTTCAAACTCAGCCCCATTTCTCTTTGATGCACCTTTGTCAGCTCGTTCTTGAAGCAGCAATGGCGTGCACAATGGCCAAATGGCCACGCTGCGCTGCGATAGACGAAGCCGTTTCCCCACCTGTGGTGGCTGCATCTTTGTCAGCTCCAGCCTCCAGCAACAATCGCACGATTTCCAAGTGGCCGTACTCGGCGCCAACAAACAAAGCTGTTTGCCGATCCGTCGTTGCTGCATCTTTGTCAGCTCCAGCCGCGAGCAACAATCGAACAACTTCCAAGTGGCCCTCCTGGGCGGCACTAGCCAAAGCCGTTGCCCCATCTGTCGTTGCTGCATCTTTGTCAGCTCCAGCCTCAACCAAAAATCGCACAACTTCCAAGCGGCCTTCCTGGGCACCAAGAAACAAAGCCGTTGCCCCATCCGTCGTTGCTGCATTTTTGTCAGCTCCAGCCTCAACCAAAAACCGCACAACTTCCAAGTGGCCTTCCTGGGCACCAAGAAACAAAGCTGTTAACCCATCTGTCGATGCTGCATCTTTGTCAGCTCCAGCTTCGAGCAACATTTGCGCAACTTCCAAGTGGCCGTTCAGGGCGGCAACCATCAAAGCCGTTGCCCCATCTGTCTTTGCTGCATCTTTGTCAGCTCCAGCCTCAATCAAAAATCGCACAACTTCCAAGTGGCCTTCCTGGGCGCCAAGAAACAAAGCCGTTGCCCCATCTGTCTTTGCAGCATCTTTGTCAGCTCCAGCTTCGAGCAACATTTGCACAACTTCCAAGTGGCCGTTCTGGGTGGCAATATACAAAGCCGTTGCCCCTTCTGTTGTTGCTGCATCTTTGTCGGCTCCAGCCTCAAGCAACAGTCGGACAACTCCCAAGAGGCCGTTCTGGGAGGCAACAAGCAAAGCTGTCATCCCATCTGTGTCTGCTGCATCTTTGTCAGCTTCCGCCTCAAGCAACAAGCGCACAACTTCCGCGTGGCCCTCTTGAGCGGCAAGAGCCAAAGCTGTTGTCCCATCTGTCGTTGCTGCATCTTTGTCAGCTCCAGCCTCAAGCAACAATCGGACAA